CTTGGCCAGGACTCCGTTGAAAATGAGGTTTTTAATCTCAATGGAACCTTCCTGGTTGAATAATGAATAAATAAAATAAAATAAATACATTGAAGCAGGGGTTCGTAGAAAAGATCCTTGATTGCAGAAGTGATCAATCAAAAAACACTAAATGTAGATTTTCTAGAAGGAAATCACAATGATGTGGCAAAAGTTGGCTTGAGGTGAGGGAGGCCAGTGTGTTGATAGCCAGACCACAAACACAAGTGAAGGAGTTTTAGACAAGTGCTAAAAAGATAATTTGTAAAAATAATGAGACAAACTCTGATGTGTGAGGATTAAGTGTCTCTGACAGCGATGTCTGGTGATGTGCAGCCAAGAATTCTTATCCTTTGATTATGCGTTGGAAACTCTTTCTGTGGAGAAACACATTGCATCAATGTTTCTTGGCCAGTACAGAGAGATGTGGAGAGTGTTTTCGTGTACTTGTTCAGCCAAGCTACAAACAAAATATGTGATTCTAGAATACTTCAGAAGTACAGAAAGTGTACTGAGATTATTCTGTAGAAGGCCGATGCAGGGAGGACGATGTGGCAGGGTAAATGATGGTCATATCGATCTCCAATGCCCTTTTATAGCTCTGTCATGTCAGTTTAGCGCCTTGGCAACACTCGCTTTAGAGCTACATCAATACTGAACTCAGGCACTCATCAGCTGACAGCTAGTTGGAGAGACTATTAGAAATGTGGAGAAGGAGAAGGACAGAGGGAATAAAGTAAATACGATCTGCCTCACTAAGGACTCAAAGCTTCGAGGAGAAAAGTGAGGAGATCAAAGTAAATGGCAGTCTTGATAGACTTCTTGTTAGAAGCCAGTCTATGTAAATTAAGATGCATTTGAACATTGTACTGTTTCTATATTTAGATGTTTAAGAGGAATCATTTAATGAAATCTTACAAGTTTGGGGACAAACTGTAAGCTTCTAAAACTGGTCCACAAAATGAAAACTTTTAGATGAAAAGCACAAAATATAAGAATGTTTAAATTATAACACATTTTTTAAATTTGGTTATAAAAGCTTTGATTGTTAACAGAAATACTGTCTTTATTTGCAGGGAAACATCAAAGACTATCCACTTAAAAAAACACTGAAATTTTTAGTCAAGGTGGTTCTTTTTAAACAGGTTGATAAAAACATAAATCAGCCCTTTGTTAAAATAAATGAGCAGTTTTGAAGTGGTGTACTGCAGGATCAAATGTTTGGCTCTTTAAACAGGGTTCCTACAGGTTCCCTCAAGTTAAATTCAAGTCTTTTTAAGGCCATTTATATAAAAACTTTATGTTTCACGGCCCTACGGGGAAATAGCTGTGGCAACGCATTCTACATAGTTTATTCAAAATATTGTGGTTGACAAAGAAACTCTTGAGGAAAAATGAGATACGTTGGAAGTTAAATACAGTAGGGCTGCAGCCATCTAATATTTTATTATTTGAATAATAAAATATTGATAATGAATATCCGGGAATGGTTGTGAACTCTGTGCAGCAGTACCGGTACTGAGTGAGTAGGGTGCATATGGGGAGCATGACTGGGTCTATGACATACATTCGTGTGTGTGTGTGTGTGTGTGTCTTGAATGTGTTTATGTGTGAGCATGAGGGTGGGAGTGTGTGACTGTATCTGTCAGGCGGGGTCTTGGACTCCTCCCCTCCTCCGACAAGGATCAGTTCTCGGCTCACTTCTATTCATAATATTAGGGAAGGACAATAAATTGGCATCGATATCGGCCGATGTTAGTCAATTTTTAACATATCGGTATTAGTTTGATAAATAAAACCAGGCCGATAGTAACAACCCATATTTTTTTCCATCTCATCTCCATTTGTTTGCCTGTTTCGGGGGGGGGGGGGGGGGGGGGGGGGGGGGGGGGGTATTTGTTTAGTCATGTGAAGTGAATGAAATCCTCTCAGAACCGTAAACATGTGTGTTGTGTGTACATAATAACGTAAATTCAGCTTTAACAATTTTCATTCTATACAAAATAGGGCTGTAGCGAAGCCTCGACTACGTCGACGGCTCGATTCTAAAAATTTGTCGACGTCAGATCCGGAAGTCGACGCACCGCGCCCACTTGTTGCATCCCCAGGAGTTTGTAAATAGAGGAGGAATCTGCCCGTTTTTCCTCTAGTTCGCCCTCTTCTCCGCCTTCACTAACATCTCCGCCAAATACCGAAGACCCGGAACAACGTCCGTCCTCTACTAGATTATTTTCCTGTTTTGCCCCTTCGTCTCCCGGCAACGGACAACAACTTCCGGGGTCAGATGCGCTGCTTCGTGTCTATCGCAGATGTAGAAAATCACCGGGAGCGCTTCTCCCTTCATTAAGGAGCTTCTTTCAGACATTAGGAGAGCTGTTTTGGTGGTAGCAGTCTCTCCTCCGTGCTGGTCTGTTTGCTGCTGGGTGTTTTTGGTTTATTTAAACTTGGTAACTTCAACTTAACGTTGGTAAAGCTACTGTTAGCATCTTCGCTAACAGCTTCTTGCGTTGGGATAAGCTGTTACGTTTTGGTTTAGAGTTGATCTTTTTTGTGGTGTAGATCTCCCTTTTATTACATTTAGAGTGTTGTGGGTTTTCGGTTTAGTGTAAAATATCACCTGAGTTTGGTTTAACCCGTAACACCACTCGCCTCACGCACATAAGTGACCAAAACAAAGCAGCATGGAGACACTCCATCTTCTACCACCTCTCAGGCAGCAGCCTGCACTCCCAAGTTCTACACGTCACCAGAACATAACCAACCGCAACACAATAAAAGCAGTGTTATACAAAATGGAAGGCCTGTAGTGTTTATTCTCTTACAGTAAGAATTTATCAATTTTTTTGAGGAATTTATTTGAGATTTTCTGGTTTTTGTTAATTGTGCAATAGAAAAATAATCATTAGATTAATTTTCTAAATAGTCATTAGAATAGTCGACTATTCGATAAAATAATCGTCAGAATAATCGTTTTAAAAATAATCGTTTACCCCCAGCCCTAATACAAAATCTGCTGATTTTAGAAGCATTAATGTCAGTATATCGGTATCGGCAAATATCGGTTATCGGTCATTATACTGACCTTAATATCGGATATCGGCCCAAAAATGTCACATCGGTGCATCGCTACATAATATATCTGCTCCCTTTGGGTTTAAATTTCAGCAAATTCAATATGAATTTTCACTGTTGCGCTGATGATACTCAGCTATGTATCTCAACTGCACCATCAACAATGCTTCCACCATTCTCACTCACAGAAATACCTTACAGAAATTAAGTCCTGGTTTTCATCCATCTTGGACAAGCTGAACCTCCATGAACCCGAAGTGCTTTAGGGAAGGCCAAAATGTTCACCATTGTAATAGAAAACACCACTGCCACCTGCTTAGATTAGATAAATAGCCTTGGGGTAATTTTGGACAGCACTCTGTCTCACCAGTCTCATGTCACTTCTGCCACTTGTTTAGCTTACTACCACCTGCGCAACATTAACCGCTTACGTCCATCTTTGTCTTATCACTCAACAGCGATTGTGTGTGCGTGTGCGTGTGTGTGTGTGTGTGTGTGTGTGTGTGTGTGTGTGTGTGTGTCAGTCATGGTGGATGGCTGCTTATACTGAGCCAGGATTCTCTGGAGGTCTCTTCCTGTTAAAAGGGAGTTTTCCTCTCCACTGTCGCTACATGCTTGCTTAGTATGAGGATTGCTGTAAAGTCACTGACTAGTCAGTGACTCGATGCAACCTGCTGGGTTCCTTATATAGGAAATTTTTTTTTGATTGGCTTAATGAACTGACCTGTATTGGAATGTTTCCTGTGTGAAGTGCCTTGAGACAACTCTTGTCGTGATTTGGTGCTTTATAAATAAGCTGAACTGAATTGAACGTGCTACCTGCTGGCATTACCAAACCTGCTTGTGGATGGATGGTTGTCCACAAACTTTAGAGCATGTCTGACTTTGAAAATGTTTTTGTCTCTGCTAGTTTCTCTATGTTCCTCCATAACACCTAAATGACCACTTTGTTCACCAGTATAATATGTGCAGGCTGTGGAATGTGCATTTAACGAAGCCTCGAATCAATAAAAATGATTAGTGGAATTTAGTCAAACCATTTGAGTATTTGTTTCAGCCATAACATACATCACAACTTTTAAGAACCATATACCAAAATTCAAGATGTTTTCAAGGCTTTTAAGGTATTCTTTCCAAATTTAAAAATTCAATACTTCCAAGACTTTTAAGACTGTTTAAAACGACTTTAGGACAATGCTACAATTAGTGATCAGAAACCCAGAACCTTTGGATCAGGGTCTGGATCGAGCTTCTCCTCAGAAAGGAGCCAATAGTTTAAGAAGTGGGTGAAAGTGAAGCATTTACTAAGCAGGTTGTGTGCTTTTCATTCTCTACATGGGATTGCAATGATGAAAGCAGCATAGATAGCATCAGAAGAATATTACAAGGTATTTGCGGGATTTAGGGAGGGATTTTCATTCCACGGATACCTAAGTTTTACCTTATAGTCAAGGTGACTAATCAGCCCATCCAACTGTATTAAATAGAACACCAGTACATACAGTTCAAGGCCTCAGCATCTGCCTCTGTACTTTTACTGCCGGCAGTTGTGCATCTTTCATTCCCTCATGGTTTTGAGTTAGATTAACAAATGGCGCAGAAAGAAATTCAGTTGGAATAAATGGTTTTAAATTGGCCGCCTCTTTTAGATGCTTGAGTTGTGATTTGTGAAGCAGAAAATGAACCATCTGCATCATCTGATAGCTTCAAAGCATTAGATGTCATCTACATGCATAAATTTTTGTGTCTACAATTAAACATTAGTAGTCATAGTTTTATTGTTCCATTTTGGAAATGTGTGGATTTATGGTCTGCTCAGGGTTCTGTCACCAACTTTTGAAGTAATAAAGTGAATTCATTATAACTAGCATAAAAGAAAGACAAATGAGATAAACAAATGTGTGACAGACCGGTCACAGGAGCAGGCCACAAGAACACTTAGGAGGTTGTAGGTGATGAAGGTGAAGATGACAGCTGTGATGGTGCCACGTGGAATGGAGTAGCTGGGATTCTTCAGGTCACCTGATGGATGAAAACAGAAACGGTTAAAAACGATTATTCAAAATGTCAAAAAAAGATAAATAGAAGCAGAGATACAGAAGAATACACGATACGGTCAATTGTGTTCAAATCCATCAAACGTAAGTTGAAACAACAGAAGCTGTTTCTGAAAGTGCACTCAGCTCTAATGTTTTAGATCATCTGACCATCAATTGGTTCAGCTTACTAAATGTTACAGGCATGTTACGCGTTAGCGTTATAACGGCAAAAGTAAGAAAAGAGGAGACCCAAGGGAAGGCCCAGGACATGCTGGAGGGACTCGGCTGGCCAGGGAACCCCTTAGGATTCCCCCAGAGGAGCTGGCCCAAGTGGCTGTTGAGAAGGAAGTCTGGGCCTCTGCTTAGGCTGCTGCCCCCGACCCAACTCCGGATAAATAGATGATAATGGATGGAAGCCAGAAAAGGCTGAACATTTATATCTCGTCAGTGGTCAGGTTTACAAACATACTATGACACGTCCGTGACATTCCTTAGATAAGTGGAGATGCTTCATTATATTCTTGTTTTTAAGACTTAGGCACTGTGCAGCCTTTAAAGGGCATAAACTGTTGATCAGGATATTCTAGAGTGAAACAGGAGTCCACCTGAATGGTGTAGAGAAGTTCTGAACAACCCTTTGACATAAAAGAAAAGACTGACTAGGTCGCATCTAGATAACTGCAGAAAATCAGGAAAAAAAATGGCCGTTGGACTTGAGGGTCGTGAAGATGCTGCGCTACTCATCCAAGATGCTCAAATGAATTTTAAATAGTTAAACTTCTATGGATCTTCTGAATCATCTGAACTCAGGATCACAATGTCCTGCTGATGATCTTCAGTATCATGTACAGGACTAATTTTGATGTTCTGAAGTGAGTTTTTGAGATTTTTAACAACAAATAAGTTTCCCTGTTGTCAGGGATGTGTAATCAATTCAAATGGAAATTTTATTTTAGTTTTGGCTCCAAACCACAACAAAAAACACATAATCAACAAACAAATGCTTGTTTATTCCATCACATTCCATTTGCAAGCACACGCGTTTATTTTGTCATCCTGTTTGAAGGCTAAACTCTCATGAGTCTTCTGGAGCTTGTTTAAAAAGTCAGATCTGGTCTTCATAAGCTGCTTTACTTTCATTTTAAAAATATTTCTAGCATGTTTCGCATTTGTTCAACATTTTACCCGGCCATCCATCGGTGATGTGTCTGCAGTCTATTTAAAATGTGACCTCTGGATGTTTTAGGCTTCGCACAAAGAACTTCTGGTGCTCTGGACATGTCTGGATGCTCTCATTTTGACGAGCCACACCGCAGCATGGTGTGTTATTTGTCTCAAGAGGAGAAATGAATGGTGTGTATTGTTTAACCAAAGAGTCGTTGTGGTAAATAATACTGGTTTTAGTATTGCCCGAGATAATTGATTCCACGCCCTAATCCTCATGAGAAGGAACAAATTAGTGTTTTATTCAACTGACAAGCTAAAGGCTAGTCTGAGTGAGCCAGAATCAAAGAGCCATCTTAAAACAACATTTACCAACCCCAAAGATGTTGTCATTTTAGCGCTACACTATTAGCAGTGAGGCTAACTAACTGTAGCACCTCTCGTATTTCAACTGAAATGATTGTATGATGCAACAGCGATGGCAGCAGCAAAGACAAACATAAGTATAATAGCCGTTTCCCAGACAACCCATTCATAAAAACCTCAACTATTCACCAATTCGCTGCCACATTGTTCATCCACCGTCTCTACTGGCCCTGACAGACCACCAGGTGATCCACAGGTTTTGCTCACCTACCTGACATGTTAGAGCCAGCCATGATGCCGGTGCAGCCGTTAAACATCACAGCAAAAACCGAGGCGAAGGTCATCATATTTCCTGTTGTGTAATCTAAAGTGTAGCCACCTGCAGGAAGACAGAGCACATCCACATCATCGGTCTTCTAACAGGACGTTTCATTTGGTCTCCTGATAAACATTCCTCTGATTACGGTTTGCAGATTCAGAAACAACGATTCATTGTAAAAAGCACATTTCTATTTACAGAAGCACAAACAACTGAGGATCACGGTGTTTATTTACATACAGTCATATGAGAGGAGGGACAAACAGACCCTGTTTATGCAGCTCTTTTCTAATCTTGTTGACAAGTAATTTACTCTGAAAGCTACACTTCTGCAGTCAGCATGTCCTAAAAGAAATTCAATTAGTTTCTCCACCAGCACACCTGTGAGAAAATCAGCCAACAAACAGGAAGGATGATTTTGATCACTGATCCAAAACCTGCAGGTCATGGATGGTGATTTACACTAAAAATGAATAACTTCTGCTCTTCTAAATCAATAAGTATTGGTTCAGCGTGTCAGTGGAAATGTTTAATGATCGGTAACTTAGCCACTGTGCAAGAGAAATTCGGGAGTAAATGGACAAATAGCTACTTTTCGAACAAATATCCTCCTTACTTTGTCAAACTAGGATTAATGTGTGTGTGTGTGTGCGTGCGTGCGTGCGTGCGTGTGTGTGTGTGTGTGTGTGTGTGTGTGTGTGTGTGTGTGTGTGTGTGTGTGTGCGTAATAGTTTTCACATGGGCAGGCCTGAGTTACAGCAATTAGCTCAGTAATCATGTGCTTCAACATAAATCCCCTCAGAAGGAGCAGAGTGGTCTGGGCAGATTTTTGTGGACATCAGGATCCTGAAAACACGTCCAACTTTATTTAAACCTCCACTCTCTGGCAGCAGCAGTGAGGGAGGGACAGTTGGGCTTTGGATCAATAGATGGAGACCAGTTGGACACCAGTCATGTCCTGCAGGAATGACAGAACGGTGAGCTGGAGCTTCAGCAGTAAATGGTGATACTTGTCCATCCTTGCTGTCGACTTGGTGTTTGTAAAAAAATGATTTTTAAATATTTACATGGGTCCGTCTTCACAATGTGCCTTTATGACTTTGAAGGATCTGATGTCACCATCTGTCTAAACTCAGCTTTCAACAGAGGAGGCTTCAGCTTCAAACCCCATCCTCTTGTTTTGTTTGGTTGGTTACAATTTCCATTTCCATTTGGAACGTTTCTCTTTTTGCAGACAGCGTATGTAGCGACTCCCCACAATCCCAACTTCAACTCTGTATTCATGTAAGTTCAGAAATGTCTACCTTTTGATGTAAAATATTATGAAGGTCAACACACACTCCTTTAGCATCCATGCTTACCCCACTGGTTTCCCCACAGCGTCTCCAGCTTGAACCCAGTAAAATTGGCTGTGGTGGGAAACCCGGACATGTTGACGACCGAGCCCGGCAGCGTGACGACTGTTGGTTTGACTATGAAGAAGCTTATGAAGACGGTTAAAAGGACAAAGATCACAACCAGGAAGATGATGAATGTTGCTTTTGCGTAGATGTGGGCTCCAATCAGGCACACAAAAAGGCACAGCAGGGCGATGGCGGTGGCGTAGAGCAGAGACCACCAGTAGCCGGAGGGCAGGACTTGGAGAGCAGTGGCTGTTACAGTCACATCTAAAACATCACAAAACAAAACAGTGTTGTGTTACTGCACACTGTAAATATTTGATATATTTGAATGTAAAAATCTTGTTTTTCCCCAAGTTACTCATCTAACCCAAAATATAAGAGATCCAAACTAAAGTCGTTGAGTGGAAATGACACCAGAAAATGTAAATACACAACATGTTTTTCTTTTTAAAATAATGAACGGTTACAGTTTGTTGGGATCTTGGTCTTTGTCACCTCATCAATGTAATACATTGCATTGAAACATAATTTGCCTCCTACAGATTGCTTCAGCTTTTGTTGTTTATTAAAAGTTTCAGATCAGCAAAAAAACTTCAATATCAGGCAAAAGAAAAACCACCTCAATACAAAATGTATTATTTGGATAACAGCAACGAGGCTCCAGAAAAGGGCTGTCAAACATTTCCTGTGATCATAACGCAGTGATGTTTTTACTTTACTGGAATAACACCAAAAAACTACAAGACAGCTTCTTTCTCGGTTTAATTTATCTAAATTAAAATCCCTAACTTTATAAAGCAAAACTCAGATTTACCTTCTGGAACTCCAAAGGTTGACAGAATGGCTTCCACCAGACCCAGCACAAAGAGGGCGCTGCCACACACATTAGCCAGGAAGAACATGAGTCCAATGCTGCCACCAAACTCTGGACCCAGGGCTCGGCTGATCATGTCTGAGTGCTGAGTCAGGGAAAACAACGCTGGTGATGCGAGAGGCTCCGTGTCATTTATTTATTTTAATTTTTTTACTTTATGGTTATTCATGCAAAAATATTAAGAACTTCTCTATTGACCTGGCCCCTGGACACACCTGTGCTTGTAAATAACCTGAGAACATGATGCAGAACAGTACTGTGATGATGCTACTGCTCAAAGGGCTTATAAAATAATGTTGCATGAATCACTGTGAGATTGCTGTAGTAGTAAGATGGTAATGATTCACTTTTGTCTGAGCTTTTTGGACTTTAGCTGTTAGCTCATCAGTCCTTTTGGAGATAAACCATGGGGGAACCCTGGGCTCTCAGACCTGAACACAAAACAAGGAAGTGGCAAAAGTTGCAGTTCCACTCTCATCCACTAGGGGCTGCAGAGGAAGTGAGCCAGGAAAAGGCCTCAGCCTCAAGTTAATAGATGTTCAGCTATTTGGACTCTCTGAACTTCAGTTTTGTCCTCTGTGTTAATCATGGAATTAGTTGGACGCAGAGGGCAAGCTGTTTTTATTGGCTGCACTAACAGATCATCCACGCAGATTCAGCTTCTTTTTATCAGTAAGTAAAATGATATTTCTGTACTTCATTTTGCTGGTTGAATGGGGGAAATGCTGTGTCATTCAACTGCTTGGTCAAACATGTTAATGGGGCTGCATGAGAAACTTGAGCAGGTGCCCAGCTTCTCCTGTCTCCTGCCCAGGAACAGTTGCTAGAGCAGGCGGCTGGCTGTTCTCGTTTCCCCGGGCAGCCGGACCGACTCCGGTGCGAGGCTGTAGTCATGCTGCTCACTTGTGGATCTCTGAAGGAGACCACAGAAACACCACAGCTCTTTTAGTTGACGCTGCTTCAGTTTTGAGTCGCTCAACCACATTTTTCTCGCTAATAGTTTGCTGGTTCTATGACGGAATATTCTATGCATTTGTCATAACACCACTTGGTCATCCGACCGAGTCAACACTCCAAGAGCCGGGACCGTTGACAACGACGGACTCCAGCATCTTTTACCACAGTGGACCACCGAAGCCCAATATCCTCAGTCAGCTTACCTAGTTATGATTGTGTTACTAAGCAGGCCGGAGGTGCCTTCCCTTTGGAGTGGCTCTACCGCGTTTTTCTTGCTAAAAAACTCTGTTAGCTTTGGGTTAGAATGTAGCTAATGTCCCACTGATCTCCCACCGTGGAGCATGAGCTGATGTAAAAGGCCACGGCTATGATCACAGTGGTCTGAGGCTTTGCTTGTAATTTAACAGTCCCAGTCCATATTAGATCTCCACAGACGACCAGCATGACAGCATCACACGGGAGCCAGCCAGCCAAGCGGGTGGGCTACCCCGGTCCCCGGAGCCCATTCTTAGCTTCTTGGATTAGCCAAGTGTAACGTCACATAATGGCCTGGTTTTAAGACCCACAGGTCAGGTACATAGCCTGGGTCACCTTGCCCTGGCTACTACTCCAATCTGCATTAGAGTCCTTCACAGGAGACTTAAAGTCTGCTACCACTCCTTTAATCTATGCAGCTGCCTGCTTATCTGACTGCTATTCCATCCACAGCAAGAAGAGGACATTTCAAGATTTAAAATAACCTCTTTACTGCTAATCATCAAGGTTCATTATAACTGTTTAATTAATGAAATGAATTATTATTCTTTGGTTAATAATTATTTATGATAATCAGTAATGTTTAACTATGACAAGAATCATGTGCACTTAGCCAGCTCACACAGGTCACAGTAACTAAGTTAAAGGTAATCGCGCTCGCATGATTTTTTCCCATAACACCAGAACTTTCTATCCTCAGGGAGGCGTGTTTCTGCGGGTTTGTCAAATCTTCCTTCTACATGTTAAAACCTGATTTGTTAAAACAGCCATCTTTTAAAACAGAACTCTCGTCATTTGCGAGTGGGTCCTAGAGAAGGTTGGGACGGCCGCCCACACTCTCTTTAACCAACAAAGCCATTTCTGTCACGCTGGCAGAATTGCTCCGACACAACAAAACGACACCTGCAGAACAAGCTGAGGCTACGAGATTCCTTAAGAATCTGCAGACACAACCCAATTCCACCTGTGTGTCTGCAGCATCTCTAGGACCGGAACGAGTCGGTACCATCTGTCTTTCCTACCGGACCCAGTACCCTGAGGCTGTTCAACATCCTCCTCTGACCTCCGGATCCACGACGAGGGTCGCCCGACGGCGAGGTAGAACACAGATTGCGTCGGAATGCTCTTTAATAAAAACAACTTAGCTTATTGACAAAACCAAATCCTTTCTCCACCAAGAACACGACCTCTCTTTAAGATACACGTTCTGAGACATGCATTCGCCAGCAAACAAACACGCTTCACCTTAGATTCATCCAAACACAGGGTTGTTTTTAATACCAAAGCTTTTATAAACTGTCTTTTAAATTGTTTAATAATAAATTTCTTAAACTTTTTATACTTGGCTCTTTCTTGAAATAAACACGGAGTGAGTGCATATTGATCACTAAACAAGCAAAGATCTTTAGATCTCCTGAATTAACAAATAACTTTTGCTATTAAGTTAAATGTTTAAAAATAAATATTATAATCTCTTGATTAACATAGACCAAGCAAGTTGGTGTATGAATTTATATCTATTATATTAAAGTTAAAGTGCCATTAGTTGTCACACACACTGATGTGTGTGCGAAATTTGTTCTCCGCATTTGACCCATCCCCTGAGGGAGCGGTGAGCTGCAGACACAGCCACGCTCGGGAACCATTTGGTGGTTTAACCCCCCAATCCAACCCCTTATTGCTGAGTGCCAAGCAGGGAGGCATTGGGTCCCATTTTTTTCAAAGTCTTTGGTATGACCCAACCAGTAATGGAACCCTGATCTCCCAGTCTCAGGGCAGACACTCTACCACTAGACCACTGAGCTGGTTATATATGTATAATATTAGAGGTGCTGAAAAAAATCGATTCAAGTCTGAATCGGGATTCTTATTTATAAAGATTCTGAATCGATTCGAGGAACTCAAATGTTTGGTATGTTACAGGTTTGAGATGCACTTTTGTATGTTTTGTTGGTTATTGTTAGGAGAGTTAGTACTCCGTTTACCTTTGTGGTCCCATAAATTCGGATGATTTATTTTTGAATCTGCTGATAAGTGGGGACTAGAATGTAATTTTTTTTCCACACTCAGAAATTTGAGATATTCTCATATTTATTTTCTAAGTTGTTAAGTGAGTACTCAGGATTACTCATGTGTTTATTTGAATCACCTCTCTAGACACTAAGGAAGGCTGGGAGATGCTTCAGCTGTTGTGTCTTTGACACTAGGGGGTGCTAAAAACAAGCCAAAACTGCCTAGTCTCCCTTTAATTGTAACCTAGTTACTTCTTCTACGGGTTTTTTTGCTGCTAATGTACAAAAGTCAGTCTAAATCCTGGCATCACATTTGGTAAAAGCCGCATGATAAACATACTCTAAACCCAGCAGAGAACCATTCTATTGATTTAGGAGTGAAAAAAGGACTTGACAACAAAGAAGAAATCTAATAGTTTAAATGTATAACACAGAAGAAACATGTCACCGTTACTGGCCGATCGCTGTAAATGACCCCAGTTTAACCCTTTGCTGTGAATAATTGCCAAGTTGACAGACACTTCATGTTTGCCGAGTTTCATCTCCTGTGCACGTACGAGCACGTGTTTCCATATCAGATTATGTTTATGTTTATGTATTTAGCAGATGCTTTTGTCCAAAGCGACTTACAAGTGATAATTGGCATGTTGCCCTTGAGGCTAACAACAACAATAACAACTTGACATCAATCATGGAGAGGAAGGAACAAAGGAGTGGACGGTAGAGGGGGGACGGGTGCAGGGAGATTACACTGACGAGGCTTTTTTTTTTCTTTTTACAAAACTGAAAAAAGGCATCTCACATCCTGAACTCCTGGTTTCACTTTGACAGATTTACCAGAATCATGATTCACTCGTGTTTTATCGGCACAATCCCAACAAACCTGATTTACACTTTAACAAGAGCACAAATAGTAGATGATGATCACAGGCCTCAGGAGTCTTAAATGGCACACACACACACACACACACACACACACACACACACTTGTCTATGTATTGTTGTGTTGACCCTCCATTGACTTCCATTCCTTTTAGTGACTCCATTATGCCTAACCCATACCCTTGCTGCTGTTCTATTTCTAACCCTAGTTAACTGATACCATATCTCTAAAACCACGTTTAAGGGTATTTTGTCACTGTGTGGGCCAGCCAGATGTCCCCACAATGTGGAAATATCCACACACTATGGGTTAAAAGTTCAAATGTATCCACTTAAGCATATTAAGACAAGTACACACACACGGGCAGCTTAACTAACGACATTTCGGTTGATAGAACACTGACTGTCACATGTAGGTCGTCATATGATGGTGTTTGTGTGTGAAGAGGATACAATAGGCTCCTCCAGCGTCCAGGGCTCCATTGGTGGAGATGGCACAGACGGACAACACAGTCATGGAGATAATGAAGTAGGCCACTATGAACATAAGGAAGGTTTGGTACAATCCAGCATGTCCCACCACGAAACCTGGTGACACAAAACACAACAAACCACAGAGAACTTGGTCAGCTGGGGGAAAGCAGAACCATTGTCTGGGAAGTTCCTGGGGTGGTATGACACTAGATTATTCACAGGAAGTACACACACGGGCACCCATCTGAAAAGTGTTGGGGAAACCTGGTAAATTTTACAGACAACTACACAACACATTCTACACAAACCGGCATTATTCCATTTTTGTAAAATACATTTATCAGATTCCATCAAGACTCCCAAACAAAAACAAAAGTCTGTTAGTGTTTGAATAATTTATTACATTTCAGACTCTGAAGTGAAAGTGAAGCTTCTGAAGATTTTAAACAAAGACAAAACTTTGGTTTGCTTCACTCCAACAGGTGAACTCTGCAGAGATGGCTAAAAGATCTTGGCAGGAACTTTGGTCAGCTAATCTCATTAGTGTAGATCAGTTCATGTTTATGGGACTGACCAGGAAAAATTAGAGCTTTTTGAAAATGTAACTTTCTCTAAATCAGGTAAAGGTCTGGATTTGAACACAAAATCATTGCATATCACTGCTGCAGGCTGGCAAAAAAGAAACACACTCCCTTCATGCAAAACATGATTTACGTTAGATCATGCAGATAAAAATGTATATTTAAAACAAAATCTGCCGAGTCGTGGTGGATGGCTGCTTATACTGAGCCAGGATCCTCTGGAGGTTTCTTCCTGTTAAAAGGGAGTTTTCCTCTCCACTGTCGCTAAATGCTTGCTTAGTATGAGGGTTGCTGTAAAGATGCAATTAGCTGGGTTCCTTATATAGTAAACTTTTTTCTGATGGCTTAATGAACCGACCTGTACTGGAATGTTTACCATGTGAAGTGCCTTGAGACGACTCTTGTAGTGATTTGGTGCTTTATAAATAAACTTGAATCAAAAATGAAAACTTGATCAGCTAAGTGGTACAATCCAAATGTTGTGGTTTTAATTTACTTAACTGGGACCACAAACCCTAACTGAATTTTAGTGAAAGGCAGACATGTGACTAGGGTTGCAGGGATTAACCAGTTCGACCATTAACCGCTGTGTGAAACTGTGAGGTTAATAGTACAACCGATTAATCCACTGTTACGACTTCTCCAACAGCTATAATTTAAAAAGACAATACCAACTCGCACGAACCAAACAAAACTGAAACAGGTGCATGTGGCAGAAGCAAAACCAGCTGCAACAGCCACCAGGACTGCTACGTTTCTCGTCTGGTTACTCACAGGCAGAGAGGCACATGAGGGGCGGGACTAGCCAGCTCAAAAATAGCCAATCAAAAAAAAGGGCGGAAATGCCGACCGTACCGAGCAATGCAGTAGTTTTTTAGCTGTTGTCAAAAATGGCGTCTGGCGACGGTGCAAATATCTTACTTTAGAAGAAAGACTTTAAGCGCTTTTAATTGTGGTTTTACAGACATGTCCAAGTAATTTAGAATGGAGGAAAGAGCCGCAGCAAACGCCGCTTCAGACGACGTCTTCGTTGTTTATGAGAAACTGAGCGTTGCGGTGTGTGACGTCCGCTGCTCAGCCAGCGCTGATTGGCTCGGTTAGAATTCTCAGAGGGTGGGGTTATTTGAACAGGCGTTCTCAGACCGGCTGGTCAGGCTACTTTAAGCCTCCTGTGCCAGGATATTTTAGATTCCCAAATCTGCTGAAAGACAAATTCAAGGCAGACTCATCCAACTGCAGAGCTGGCAGAAAGTTGTAGTTCCTCAAATTTGTTTCAACATCTCTGAAATAATTATGTGAAAAAAATAAGCTAAAACTGAGTCAGATTACGTTACTGACTGAAGTGAATAAACAGTAATATTTGAACAATTCAGTGAACGAGGGTTAATTTAGTTGTGTTTTACTACATTTCCTTTGTATGTCTATAACAAGCAAGTACAGCAAATCATTTGAACATTTAATCCATGACACCTCTTTGCAATTCATATTTTACAAATGGCAATTTTTCAATTGTTCTTTTTCCATAAAGTACTAGTCAATGTTGTCAGTTCACATGAACTCATAAAAGGTTATCAGGCAAATATAATTAAGGGTATTTTAATAGTTTTATACAGCAATTTAAAACTTAGGAGATTACTTTGATTGTACAAATGATTTTTTCTAAGCAGAACGTCTGAAAAGGAGCAATAAATATCCTCTAAATTTCAAAACCTATAAAGAATATAAGTATTAATGCTTTGTGTTTGTGGGGTTTTTATATGCTAACACAGATGTTAAATCAATGTGTGTAAAATAATCATGAAACTGAAAGTATTTCTCAGACTATAATCGTACCACCAGGATTTATAATTGTTGTAACCCTACTTGTGACTCAGACCCAGTTCCCCCTCCTAGTAAATGACCAATAACCTCGCCTTTCGATCCAATAATCTGGTTCAGACCCATTCCAACAAACTACCTGAGTCTGAGATGAAGACACTACCAGTGTCCAAACTATTTATGAGCTTAAGTACAACTTTACATTTTATGCGTTTTCACTTCATCTTTATTGTCCTACATGACTTTGTTATATACTTGTAAAAGTGAGAAGCACATGTGAGTCATAAGACACCACCATGTATGAACGATGGAAGAAGAAGACGATTTTTTATATAAAACCTCTCAAGATAAAAATCACGAGTCGCTTCACAAAAACAAAAAGTAAATCGAAGTATAGAAAGATTTCAAAAATGATTAAAATATGTTTAAAAGGACAAAAGAACAAAAAATAAAGCCTGAACAAGTGAGTTTTCAGCTGCTTTTTAAAGGAGTAGACTGAGTCCACTGATCTCAGGCTCATGGGGAGAGAGTTCCAGAATCTGGGGACCACAGCAGCAAATGATCTGTCACCTTTGGTCTTTAGCCTGATGTTGCACAACCAGAAGGCTTTGATGACTGGACCTCAGGGACCTGCTGGGGGTGTAGGGACTAAGAAGATCACCAATGTAAGATGGTGCTTGTCCATGTAAGGCCCTATAGACCAGAACCAGGATCTTGAAATGAACCCTGAAGTTGACTGGCAACCAATGAAGCTGGAGGAGAAGCGGGGTGATGTGGGTGTGTTTGGAGGACTTGGTCAGAAGCCGAGCACAGGCATTCTGAACCACCTGTAGACGGTTCAGGGAGATTCTGCTCAGACACGTGAAAAGAGAGTTACAGTAGTCTAAGCATGAGGAGATGAAGGTGTGGATAACTGTCTCAAGTTCAGAGTGGGACAGAATGGGACTCAGCTTAGCAATGTTCCTGAGATGGAAGAAGGAAGAGCGAACAAGAGAACTGACATGAGAATCCAGGGTGAGGGCTGGGTCAAAGGTCACACCAAGATTCCTGACAGAGGGTTTGGTGTGAGAAGCAAGGTGACCAAGAGAGTCTCTGACTTTGGGAACCAGCTTGTCTGGGGCACAGATGAGGATCTCAGTCTTATCTTCATTCAGCTGTAGAAAGTTCCCAGCCAATCAGGTTTTAGTACAAGCAGGTGTGTAACAGCTGCAGCTTAGACATCTCATGGGGCTTAAAGGAGATGTACAGTTGGATGCCAACTAAATAAAGATGGTAGGAGATTAAATTAAAGGATGTGCTGAAGAGGAAGTAGATAGAGGAGGAGCAGTAGAGGCCCCAGCACAGAGCCTTGTGGGACACCATGGCTAAGAGAGGTGGCGGAGGACCTGAACTTGGAGACAGCCACAGAGAATGAATGCTCAGACAGATGAGAGGAGAACCACTCAGAGCAGATCCTGTCTGTCCTACCCAGTCTCTCAGCCTCTCCAGTGGCAGGTGATGGTCAACAGTGTCAAAGGCTGCAGTCAGGTCCAACAGGACCAGAACAGAACGGTCCCCGGCATCACTGTGAGTCAGAAGGTCATTAGAGACCCTAAGAAGAGCTGCTTCAGTAGAATGAGCTCTACAAAAACCTGACTGGAAGCTATCACAGATGTTATGTTCATCAAGAGCAGCTGTGAGTTGTTTAGCCACAACCTTGTCCAAGATCTTGGAGATGAACGGAAGTTTAGAGATGGGTCTGAAGCTGCTATGGAGAGAGGGGTCAAGACTCGGTTTTTTAAGTAGCGGGTGGATTACAGCGTTCTTAAAGTAAGCAGGGACCTGACCAGAAACCAGAGAAGCATTAATTATAGAGAGCACGCTGGGTCTGATGGACTGAAAAGCATTTTAAACAAAGATGAGGGTAAGATGTCGAGGGGGCATGCAGAGGTCTTCATAGAGTTAACTAGTTTGGTTAACTCAGGCAAAGAAACTGGAGCAAAGCTATCTAGGATGATGGGCCGGGTTGGAGTTGGGAGAGGCAGCAATAAGGCTGAGGGAGAGATGCTAGATTTAACTTTACTGACTTTGTCCACAAAGAAAGTTCTCACAGTCTGTAACAGAGTGGGTGGAGGCTGTAGGAGAGGCAGGAGAGATGATGCTGCTGATGGTGTTAAACAGCACCAGTCGACCTGTTTCTCCCATGTGTTGCTCTACAGACAGCTGATTGGTTTATGAGCCAGCTTAGTGGCCTGGTGGTAGAGTGTCCACCCTGAGACTGGGAGATCAGGGTTCGATTCCTGGTCGGGTCATACCAAAGACTTTGAAAAAATGGGACCCAATGCCTCCCTGCTTGATACTCAGCACTAAGGGATGGATTGGGGGCTTAAACCACTAAATGGTTCTTGAGCGCGGCTGTGTCTGCAGCTCACCGCTCGCCCAGGAGATGAGTCAAATGCGGAGAACAAATTTCGCACACACATCAGTGTGTGTTGGGACTTTAACTTTAACATATTTATTGGCTGAGGTGTGAGCAGAACTGAAGTCTCAAGATGTACGCTACTAACAGGCATGTTTTTAGATGCACTTCATATCCAAGACATACCACTAGGTCACTACATCCCCCACACTGACTCTTTAAATAAAACACCATTTGTCAGAAAATCTCCCCAAAAATATAATAATAATAATTATTATATTACAATGTTAATAACTAAACCTATGATTGAGGTTATT